ACACCACAGCTCCCTTGGGAGAGTGACGGGTCACTCTCATGTAACCCCGTTACATTAACTATGCTACATTTAAGCGAAAGAGCTACGGCAGCCCCGCTTCGATTTTAGTAAGTCCCGTGTCCGGCACCAAAGGTGCGTTCGCATATTGGCACTTACGAGTGACTGATCTTCAAAAGCTCTGGCGTGGCTTCTGACGTCTTTGTCTTCCGATCGATCCACGGCTCTTGGCGCTCATGCCAGGCCATTCTTAGGATGGATCGTATAATCTGGGTGTAAGCTCTCAAAATTGTATTAAAATACTTAACAGAATCTTCGATACATTAAAGACTACTCCGTCGCGGGACGAACGAATGTAGTATCTGACCTCGTATCTACTTGCCTCCGCCTAATCCTTTCTAATTCCAGCCGTAGCGCGCTGTACGATTATCCCAAATGTATATAGGTTTTTTATGGCTTCACATAGCCGTCTACGCTGATCTCAACGGCCGAAAAACCTGACCCATATCTTCAACACCAAGCTTCAAAGAGGGTGAGAATCTCTCAGAGCGCCATGAGGTTAATTGAATCTCATTTTCTAGCAAACGACCGACCTACTAGAATTGACATGTCACTGTGAGGGTGTTTACCGCTTGCCCTAAAGAGCATACAGTTCGTCAACTTTTGGTATCTAATACCAGCGAATACCACAATGCTGCTCTGGTTACTTAGCTACGTTGGTATTCATACGACTCCATTATTGTCAATATAATGACCCTCGCGGATCAAAGGTTATATTTTTCGTTTAACACGGCACTCACCGCAGCCTCGAATCAGGGAAAGCGTACGATGAAGTCCTATGGGCGAGCCGAACCACCTTCAGGAATTGGGCATCTGTTGTCAACTTGGGTACAGGACAATAAATTAGCTTATGAAATGGTTCCGGGAGATGGCGAAGCTGGTGGCCTGGGACCTGATAGCGGTTACGTAGATATTCACATGCTACGAATAAGCTATGCCTCCACAAAGACCAAACCTTGTGTCGATGGAAGCACTACCACCTTTCACAGAGCTCGATTAATCGAGATTGCTTTTGTGAAGCATTTAGTGAGTCTACTAGAGAGATAAAGAAGGTCACGGATTCGTCCCTGCACAAAGCAGAGCAACGGTTTGTTGTGTTGGCGACGTCTAAGCTACCAGTACTTTCCATAAAATGGTGTAATGTGGACGTGTTCTTTGTCCATCCACATCTGCTTTAGATCACTCCTTTCTTACAGATTATGAGCCTGAAGGGGCCTCAAGCGACGAATTTGTGGCGCCTCACCGGTACCGAAGACCCGCGTGAGCGCTGCCCACGATAGTAGGCTCCTCCTTTGCTTTATGATAAGGGGCCGACTACGATGGTGTAATGCTTGAATGCACGTGGTTTGAGAAAAAGGAAAGCAATTGACAGGTCGACTGTATACATGGGCAATATAGGATGATTGGATCCTTCATCGTTCTCGCACTACTGATAATACGGTGTTTCAGCTATGCAATCCAGGAATTCATTCATATTGACAAAATATTAACATTATTTCTGATGTTGCATCAAGGCGCAAAACTCATCAAAGTCAATTTTTCCGTCATCGTTACTGTCGGCTGCTTGGATGATCTTGTAAACTTCTTCAATGCTCATGTGTTTGTTCCCAAGTATATGAAGAATGTGTTTGAGTTCGCTGCTGGTTATATGTCCGTCGTGATTTACATCGAAAATCTTGAGAGTGAGATATATTAAAAAAGTGAGCGAAGCCAAATCAAGAAAAAAAGCGTACATTGAAGGCTGTTTTGAGATCTCCATTGGACAACTCCCCGCTGCAATGGCAAAAAAGCGCAAATGAGGCCAAGAAAGGAGTAATCTCACATATGATATACGCCTATACCGACGAAGTAACCGCTGGTTCATCATGCTCACAAACTCAGTAAATTGAATTCTTCCGTCACCGTCAGTATCTGCTTGGCGCATGATGCTATCAATCTCGGAGCTGCGAATGATAAGAATTCATGTATGAGATGATACGTTAACCTTATTATAATTAATTCATATTATATACTGAACCTTGAAAGCTGCTGTCCCAGTGCTTGCAACATGCCCTTCAGCTCATCCCGGTCAATGCAGCCAGACTCATCTTTGTCAAAAAGAGCAAATGTTTCTTTAAAGGTATCTTTATTCACGGTCGCATTACCGCAGGAAGTCAGATGCTTCTCGTCACTATCATCCGTTATACCAAGCTTTGCATGATTCACGCCCATGACGACCGCCAATATATTGGCACGAAGTTGTTGCAAGCGCTGATATGCTTGAAGCCTTTGAGTATAAGCACTATCGAGGGGTTTTGTTGACGTGGAGATGCCACTCAACCATGAATGTTGTAGTGCTTCCTTAGCCGTTAACCGCCTGATTGGGTCGGTATGTAGTAGTTAAGAAATCCTTCGCTCCTGCAGTGAGACTTGTATACCATTTGTTTTCCACTACACGCAACCAGTTCATCATATCGATCTTATACGGTTTAGTTAACGTGGCGTCGAAGACGAGACTCACCATCGTAGTTTCCATGAGCTATCTCCTTAACAATTTCAGCGTCTGACTTGTCTCCCCGTGGGTCGAACGGATGGACTCCAGTAAGTGTGATGTAAGCCTGAAAGGAATTTAACGCGATTAGGTATGCATCTTTAACAATTATAAACATAGGCAAAGCATATAATCACGTCGTACGAGAACACCAAAGGCCCACATGTCGACACTGAAGTCCTGAGGCTGAAGCGAAACAATTTCGGGGGCCCAATACGCGCTACACAAGAAACCATACTATTAGCGTGTAGACGTAAAATATTGCGTAATGGTGGAGGTTACACTGTGCCATTCGGAAAGTGATCAACAATCTTCTCTCCCTTTTGTTGTCGTCTGCTCGACCCAAAGTCCTACACCAAACAATGTCTATCATCTCTTTTAACATCAGGCTGCATAAAGATACTTTCATACCGCAATTTTCACATTGGCCTTGGTAGATTGATCTGACAGCAATACATTCTCGGGCTTGAGATCACAATGACTGAAGCATGAAAACGAAAACGGTATCACAAGTACACATCATCATTTATCAACCACAATGTCTTACCAAACACCGCGGGAGTGCACATAGTCTAATGCCAGACAAACATCATGCAGCAAGTGTGCGGCATCTTGCTCAGAAACGGAGCCCTAGCAGAAAGTGGCGTCAGACACACATGTATATTCAATTATACGTCCTTCAAAGCTATACTCTGTACCATATTGACGATAAAGTCGAAGAGCTCTCCTCCTTCAACCAAATCCGTTAACATAATTGTTTCATTCTCGAGATATAAAACATCCCGCAACGACACAATGTTCGGGTGCGTGCCGAGATGACGCAAAATATTAATCTAGATGCGGGTAAGTCGCTTCAACACATTTTGCAAGCTCCATCAAGTCGATAAAATGCGGTACCTCGGCTTGAATCGATTCCATTGATGAGCTCTTAGAATCAAAGATTTTTGCAGCTAACGTCTAGGTAGTCATCATGCGTAATGTCAACCTTATAGTCTAAAATTGTTCGATCAACCTGTTTGGTCTTCGTGTCAATGGCCAGACGCACGATTGAGAAACCTACGCTTAGTAACAAATCTGAGCAAAGTCTCCTGAATGACACCCAATATCGTTTATCGTACCTCCTCGACCAAGCTCCTTTGAAAGTGCATACTGTCCTCGCTTTTCGATATTTGGGTTCATCCACCAGTGGTCATCACTCGATTTGAACTCGACGTTGCTGCTGGATGCGTCTAGCTTCATGTAGATCGCTACCCCAAATAACGTCGCTGCTGCCACATACCCTGTCCATCCAGTTTTATCACCGTACAGAATTACTGCTCGCTTGTACGTTGGCTGACGATGTACTACAAGCGGAGCCACTTTGTCAAGCACCGAAGCACGAGTAAGGCACTTGGGTAGATGCATTTGATAATGATAAAAGGTTTATTGAAGTGGTGTTTAAGTGATTAAGTAACATAATGTTGAAGCTAGATGATGTCAAAATCACAAGTGCTTTTCTGTAGTAACATCATATTAAAGTTAAGTCTCACATTAATGACGCGGCGTGTATGGGTTTACCTCCTCCTCAAACAGGTCGGAAGCGAGCTTTGAAAGCACATGCATAGCTGTGAGATTTTCGAGAGGAATCTTTTCGCAACGTGTGGTATTCATCAAACATAAGCAAGCGACGACGGTGCCGTCAGGTGACTTAATTGGGAACCCGGCAAAGAGCTGCACGTCAACGTTACGCACGAGTCTTGGATTTGATAGCTGGGGGTCACATGCAGGGTCTTTGATTACAAACGGTTTGCCGCTTTTTATGAGAGAGAGTGGACAAATTGCCATATATTTCTCAGCAAATTGACTTGGCGCTCCATAACATCCAACGATGCGCTGAGCTTGGGAGCTGTGGGCACCATTGAACGCTACAATGTACGCGATTGAACATTGCATTCGGACGGCTGCAACTTCGCATATTGAGTCCAAAGCTGCCGAGTCGAGACCATCATCTAAATCTAGTTCCGTCTCTAGATTGGTGGTTGTAGTCCATGGTCTTGGTGCGATGGAGTTCTCATTGAAGGTCGAAGAAGGAAAGCATTGACCACTTGTATAACAACGCCGACGCTGCGTCCCGAACTGGATGTCATGATAATAATTCGATCGGATACGAGATATGTCTTCACTTCGGTTCTCAAATGCAGTGTCTTCGCTGACCGTGATATTCGATAGGTGCAGTCGTGCCTCTATATATTTGTCCATCATTTTTTCGTCAGGGTTATGAGAAGGAGACAATGACATTGGAGATTTGAAGGTCGAAGATGTACAAGCTGACGTAGATTCGGATGTGACCTGTTTCAGTATTTGACGTACAGTTTCAAGTGCACGTGCTCGAGTGCGCGGATTCTTTGAAAAAAGTGCGTCAGCCAGTTGTCGTCCAGATGTGGATGAGAAAGAGGTTGACGTTGTGACAGCACTGCTACTACGGTCTGGCCTGTGCAATTGTGCTTCAATAGAAGCCTGAGAAATTAGTGTTTGTTGCGCTGTAAGTGAGTTGCGTGAGCAGTCGGTATAGTTCAGCGAAGCGTCGTAAGAAGCGGTCGAGGGATTCACATCTGCTGCATCACGTTCTTGGTCATGTTTGTTGGTCTTGCCCTCTCCGACTGAGATCTTGGAGAACGAAGCGTGTAAAAGCGGGTTCTCTTGCTTAAACACGCTAGCGTCCACACTGGCTACACAAGCAAAGCAAACACGATTTCGACGAACTTTACGTGCGAATGGTTCAACCTCGACTTTTCGTGAGCACTCACGGCAAACTCCCTTAGCACAGAGTTGACAGAAACGTTGATAGCGCATCAGTCCAAAGTGCTTCAGACATACGCTGCATTTCGTATCTTCAGCTGTGTTTCGGTTTACAGGAGTCTGAAAGAATGGTTGGTTACCCAATCGTCGACGCCGCACGAGTTGCTCGAACGTGGTTGTTGCTGTCGCGAGAAGATTCACAACGTATTTAGCCTCTGCATTGGCTTTCGATCGCTTGCAGTGCCGTTGACAAGTCACTGGATCACCATTGCTAGGATTTCCTTTCACCCAAAATTTTGATCGCGTTTGAGATTTATCTGATATTTGTGGACTGTGAACATACGCTGTCATGACAATTCGCGTCTGATGACCGCTTAAGTCGCTGTACGTGCTCCTGAGGTGATATCCAACAGCAATATGGTCCAAATTTCCCCGGATTACCTGTTCTGAAGCACGTTGGTCTCTACAACCAGTGAGTTTGTCGTGCATGGGCTTAGGTAACGTTTTCATGGTGTAAAAGGCTTCATTTGAGTCAGGGCAGAGTTGCGAATACGCTGCAAAGCAAAGACGCTGGCGACGACTTGTCCGCGTGGCTGCTGTTATTGGATTAAGTGAGCGGCGTGGGCGCAATACGACGGAATGCAGTGCAATCCATCCTGGTTGCGAGAGATCATTTAAGTCTTCGTCATCTACGCAGAACATGCTGTTGTTATCGTATTCCATCGAGCGATTCTTGTGGAATTCACGAGAGATTAAAAGATCGCCGTTTCTATACTTTCTTGCACCAAAAAGAGCACTCATACTAGCATCGAACTGTAGCGTCTCGCGGCTGAAAAGCATGGTCATTGCCTCGTTCAGTTGACAGTTGAGTGTAACGTGAGCTGAAACCGCGTACGAGATATCTAAATCACTAGACGGCCATTGAAGTAGCTCTTGTGTTCGATTTTCAGATTGCGTGTGGCCTCCTAGAAGGGCATCGCAGGTACTACCTGACTCTCGTGACTCAATCATAGAGTGACGAATGTCAGCAACTCGTGATGATCCACGAAACCAGTTTGAGCTGTCGATGTTTTTGATTTGTGGGAGCTTAGCACGATCGAATTCGCAGATCTCGACACCATATAGCTTCCTGTTGATGACCCAACATGGTAATTGCTGCTTTCGGCGCGACGATGGTGCATGCCAGACGCTGCTGCTGCGTAGCATGTCCTTGCGGTGTTCTAGAACAGATCGAAGCTTGGGTACGACACTTGCTGCTAAAGTAAAAATTTCCCGATCAGTCACAAGTGTATTAATGGACGAGGGAGTCAGCAGGACATTCCGAGCTGAGTTTGACGAGACCATGCTATTGTCGCTGCTTTCGAAATCGTAGCTACGGATGCTGCTTCGACAACTGCTGCTTGGATAGCTGTCCGTCATTCTGACTACTGGTCTGTATATGAACCCAAGCAGAAATGTGTTGATGTGAACAATTGTGATTGAGAAATGAGGTGGATGGTAAAAGCAACCGAGCCTAATGTTTGGCGTAGCTACATACGAGCTCAAACAAGACTTTTTCGACGACACTGGATGCCTGGTGCTTTCGCTGGCTTGATGCACTGATTTGACCGAGTGTTTGACTGAATAAAAGGTCACTCTCTTCTCGATTGGAGACAAAATGGTCCCCAGAGATGCTATGACGAAGCCTTTGCAGCTGTATCATTTTGCCATTCATCGCGATGTTGTTCGTCTTGGGTCAAAGCCTTTGACACTGTATGTACTGAAGAACTGCAACATCTGTAATTACAGTTGCCTCTTCCCTTTGAAGCTTCACTTCTTGTCCACTGGCAATTCCCTCCATCGCCAAATTGTTGATTCGGATGCTGAAACCATGCGCGTCATGTGTGGCAGCGAAAGAGACGAAATTTGGTTGCGCTCTTCAGTAGAAATTATCACCTTAATTTCAAGCACGTCACGACCCGGATCTCGTCCAACACATTTCACAAGTCGTATCATCGTCAGCGATCGCAGAAGTGAGGGAAAGTATGTTGAAGTTGATAAGCTTTACCGGCTAGAAAAAAGGGTGCATGCGGTTCGAACGCTAAAGAATTATTATTCACAAATTTCAGAAAAATCACCTTGTAATTAAGATATAACGGAGACTACAAACTGTCATAATGCATTCCGCGATCCAGGCGGTGCTCGTCTACAACTCGTCGTGTTCGTCGTCATCGTCGTCATCATCATCACCATCAGGAGCACCACCGCTTTGGTACACTTTAGACATGATGGGGTTGACAAGCTTCTCGACTTCCTTCTGTTTCGCTTCATAGTCCTCCTTGTCGGCTTCCTGGTTGTCCTCAAGCCAGTCCATGGCGTCCTGTACGGCATTCAAGACAGTATCCTTGTCGTCATCATTGAGCTTGTCTTCTAATTTCTCCTCAACATTATTCTTCAAGCTGTATAGGTATCCCTCCAGGGCGTTGCGGCCATCGATACGGTCCTTAACCTTTTTGTCCTCGTCGGCAAACTCGGCAGCTTCCTGGACCATTCGATCGATCTCCTCCTGGGAGAGACGTCCCTTCTCGGCAGTGATCGTAATCGTCTCCGCCTTGCCTGTTCCCTTGTCCTCAGCAGACACTTGCAAAATGCCGTTGGCATCAATCTCGAACGTTACCTCAATCTGAGGAACACCACGCGGAGCAGGTGGCAATCCAGTGAGCTCGAACTTGCCCAGAAGACGGTTGTCCTTAGTCATAGCACGCTCACCTTCAAACACCTGAATGAGTACAGCGGGTTGATTGTCCTGGTACGTTGAAAACGTTTGCGACTTTTTGGTGGGAATGACAGTGTTACGGTTGATCAGCTTGGTCATGACACCACCAACAGTTTCAATACCCTGTGAAAGAGGCACCACATCAATCAAAAGCACGTCCTTAGTCAAGTCATCCTGTTCACCCCCAAGGATACCGCCCTGTACGGCAGCGCCATACGCAACCGCTTCATCGGGGTTTACACCACGCGATGGTTCCTTGCCGTTGAAGTAATCCTTGATCAACTGCTGCACCTTCGGGATACGAGTAGATCCTCCAACAAGTACAATCTCGTCAACCTCCGATTTCTTTAGGTCAGCGTCCTTCATTACTTTCTCAACAGGTCCAAGAGTCTTCTTAAACAAATCTTCATTGAGTTTCTCAAAACGAGCACGACTTAAAGATTCGGTAAAGTCCTCGCCATCGAGAAGCGACTCAATCTCAAGACGGGCTTGAGCTTGGGCAGACAATGCACGCTTCACGCGTTCAGCCTCACGACGCAACTTCTGCAGGGCACGCTTGTCAGAAGAAATATCGATGTTCTTGTCCTTCTTCCACTTCTTGATAAAGTATTGCATTATACGCTGATCAAAGTCTTCACCGCCCAAGTGAGTATCACCGTTAGTGGCAAGCACCTCAAACACACCGCCATCGATTGCCAGAAGAGTAACATCAAAAGTACCACCACCCAAATCAAACACTAAAACGTTTTTCTCGCCTTGCGCCTTCTTGTCAATACCGTAAGCAATGGCAGCAGCTGTAGGCTCGTTAATAATACGCTGAACCGTGAGACCAGCGATCGTACCAGCGTCTTTAGTGGCCTGGCGTTGGGCATCATTAAAGTAGGCAGGCACTGTCACCACAGCGTCAAACACTTCACGGCCGATGTAGCCTTCGGAAATCTGTTTCATCTTTGAAAGAACCATAGCCGAAACTTCCTCAGGTGCAAATTGACGCTTTTCACCCTTGATCACCACCTGGATAAAAGGCTTCCCATCCTTGTTAACAAGCTCATAAGGCAAGAGCTTCTTGTCAGCTTGCACGGACTTATCATTGTACTTACGACCAATAAGTCGCTTGACATCGAACAACGTTTTTTCTGGGTTGATCGTAGCCTGATTCTTAGCACCATCACCAATCAGACGCTCATCGTTTGAATCCCACGCAACGTATGAAGGCGTGATACGGTTACCCTGATCATTAGGAATGATCTCCACCTTCTGATCCTTGTAAATACCCACACAAGAGTAAGTCGTACCAAGATCAATACCAATTACGGGGCCACGTGGACCCTTCGAGTCTTCAGCTACCGCAGAGTTGGCACAAGCTGCCGCCGCAATAAGAATTATCTTCGAAAGATTCATCTTTCTTTCTGTGTGTTTAACTGCGAAAGTGATAATGATTTACTGGACGCGTATATTAAAGATCCTGGTGCAAGCTCCAATACAAAATTTAAGAGATGAATCGTGCTTACGTGGCTAAAATGGGTTTCTAGAAGACGGGTCTTCTAGAAGCCGACATACTGCAGAGTTGTAAGGACTATACTATAGCTAAGTGAGCGGCTGCCACGCGTCATTATTGCCTGCTTAAGTGCGAAGAACCACTTGAACATTACAAACAAATGAGTAGGCGGACCATTTATCTGCATGTCGATGCCCGACGTCTTGCGAGATAAGCAGATACGACATGATGGCAGTGACGAGATAGTTTGAATCGCATTTAGTTGGACACAACTTATCACGTGACATTTGCGATTTGCAATTGCTCATGTCAACACTTCTCCTTAGTACAATAGCTAAATTAGCTTCATTCCTTACTTAAAGCAAGATACTTTTGTAGGAAACTTAACTAATGGATGACGTATGTTTAATTTGATGCTTTGAAGCCATGCTACCGACGTCCAGCTGTTCGGAAATTTAAAGCGCACTTACACATTCGCAAACAAAGCGTTGACTGATGGTTACATCAGGTATTGGACTTAACAAATAAATTGCGGATCTAAGATCACCATTTTGCCACCACTACACAAGCGAAGTGGATGTACTCATGATATAAAATTAATCACTCAAAGTTTGTTATTGTTGACACATCGTCCACGTGAAAAGCTTCTATCTTTTTATCCTAAAACCATCAATCTCTGAACGTAATCGCAAGGTTATGTAACGTACATTATTCCACCTAAGAAATAGTCATCTCATGCAATGGAAGTGGTCGTTCTCGGTTGCGGGCCATCGTCATCGGTGCCGTCCATGCGCTGCGTGTTGAGTAGAACGTGTGGCGTGTGCAACGAAGCGCATGCCAATCCGGACTCTAAAAATCGTCGACTTAATCCAAGTTTGCTTGTGCGGAATATCAAAGCCGATAAGAATGTCCTTATTGATTGTGGTAAAACTTTTCGTGAGGCAGCATTGCGGATATTTCCTCAAGTTGGCATCTCAGCAGTTCACTCGATTGTGCTAACGCATGATCACGCCGACGCTCTGTTAGGAATAGACGACCTGCGTGAGGTACAGGCCACTGTGGATACCATCGATCCAGTAAGTAAGGAAGTGTTGAAGGTCCCTTCAATAGCGATGAAAGTGCATTGCAGTGAAGTCACGGGTCGCGAAGTTATTGCAAAATTCCCATATTTGATCTCTGATGAAAGTTCACCATCGGCTTCAGATAAAGGGCCAAAGCCATTTCGATGGACTGCGAAGCTTCAAATTGAGGCTTTCACTCCTTGGAAGCCATTCGAGGCTTGTGGCATCACTTTTTTCCCGTTCCCGGTCATTCATGGTACTGGATACACGTCGTTTGGATTCGAATTTGGACTCGAGGTAGGTGCAAGATTCGTCTACATTTCCGATGTGAGTGAGATTCCAGAAGAAACAAGAAAGTTCCTAAACGATACAAGCAAACCTCCCGTTGATGTTTTGCTGATTGACGCACTTTATATTGACAAGTATCACAGCACGCACATGAATCTACAAAAGGTGATGGATGAAATTGCGACTTTCAAGCCAAAACGTACTTTGCTGACAGGAATGAGTCATGACTTCGACTACCACATACACAGTATTGAGCTGCCGAAACTGGGCAACGAGAAAGGTCTAAACATCGAAATGACCTACGATGGACTGCGTATAGCATTTTTGCTGCCAAATGATATAGTCTAACGATGTGCTGCTTACCATCAAAATATCAGCCTGAAAAGCCCTACGACACCGGTGGTCTCGAGTCCAAGACCACCTTTGTCCATCAATCAGCTGCTTAGGTATTTATGGATGCTACTGAGCTGCCTGCAATTGTGTATCTTGCAAAAAAATCACTATTAACGAAACTCATTCGACCTGTAAGAGTACTTTTTTGGCTTTCAATATTTTTGAGGTGCATTTTTCTGGCTTAATTTCATTATTGAATCATAGCAGATGCCCGCACAAGCAGATCAAAGCCTCGAGACGTTTGCACTTCATTTTGGGTAGTAAGTATTAGTACCTGACTTAATGCTTCATTGTAAATTGTGTGACAACAATAAATTTTAGATTCAAAGAACCTCATAAACGCATAGCTACTTACAGAAGTTAAGTCTTGACAGGCTGTTGCAGGACAGGGTTAGAATGGTCGGCGAAGCTGAGAATGATCATCATGCTTAATATATCACAAAAGTAGAGGTAAGCACAGTGTCACTTATTGCTGAGAATGACAATTGTACAGACCCAATACTGCATCTACTGAGAATCACTTACGCAGATGCGTCTTCTTCTCACTCGCATCAACAGTAATATTTGTGTCCACAGATGTCGTCTCTGACAAATCTGCTTTTGCATGTACCACATCGTTCGTTGCGATCTCATCAGACGGCATTTCGAATAGCAATCCATTTTCACGCATAATCTCATCGAAAACTTTGACTTCGTTGGCGAAAGCATGTGCAGCACTGAGTGCAGTAGCCGACGGCGCCGGAAAAAGGCGGTTGAAGCATTTGATTAAGTAAGGAACGAGCTCGGCACGAACAATCTGGATAGTTTCAAAGCCAATTTTAGCTAAAGCTATCGACAAATTCAAAAGTATCGAACCTCATTCATTGCGCGAATCGACTGTGTAAGCGCTGCTGCCTTTGCATGTTTGGTTGTTAGATTTGCGTCTTCTAACTTACTTTCGTCAGTTGTGAAGTGCAATTTCAGCTTGTTCTCTTCAACAAACTCGGCAATTGTAAGTAATACAGTACCAATAGCGCTTTGGTACTTTTTGTATAGACGATTCTGTAATGACAGAATCGCACACAGTCGTAATTTGTTCAAAGATGACAGCAGCGAGTTTGTGAACCCTGCCAATAGTGGGAATGCCATAAGACATCGTGGTGGTGCATAATCTTCCTCTTTGGAGATTGCTGTCGGACGGGAGGCGAAAGGAAAGGTGCTTTCGTTTGCCTTTTCAGGTGAACGATACGATGCGATGACGATGGGCGTTTTCGAATGTAGCGTGGATGAGGACGCTACAAGCGAGTGCGCTTTTAAATTATTTCGAAACTCGTAGCAAGCGGACCGCCAGTACTCTGTCATCAGACTCAGCACGTGATCCTCGAAATACACAACAAGCACAGCTCGAAAGTCAAGACCAACACGGCCGAGTGATCCCCCGAAGAATAAACTTTGCTCGAGAATCGTAGCGATGGAACTAAAGTCATCAACCTTTGGTATTTGCCTACACATAATTGTCAAAAATCAATCAATTGGTGTAGTAAGAAGTGTTGACATTCAAGCAAGTGCACACTTCATCAGAATGTGAATAAAATTTGCGACTGTCGTTGTTGCCCAGCGGCACAGCGAAGGATCGACTTTGCCATCTACATTCTAAACCAAAACACGGAGTCCATGTTGACCAATAAAGTTAATGAAAAAAAATTGACATACCTCGCTACCAAAGATTGCCGAGTACTGAGTGATCATGTCAAACCAGCTTGTCCGCTTGATATCAATCACTTGAATGATCTACACCCACGAAAAATGACGCAGGGAATATGAGCTAGACACAATTGAAGAAGACAGTGTACCCACATATTGGTAAGGGTCCGAATATGAAAGGCCATCACTTAAGGATGACAACCACACATTTCGGCAAGCAAGGAACTCTTCCTTCAATTGTCTCTCATACTCCAACGACCCCACGGCTGCATATTCATCAATTAATGCGTCAAGACGTCGAATATACCCCACGATGCGAACACATAGCGCAAGTTGCAAATCCTCGCGCAGCTTTTGCAACAATCTTTCACGAAGAGTGCCGGTCATTTCTGCCACCTCGCGCACCAAGCAGTCAATAACAATATTGCGCTGCATCTCTTCGTTTTCATGAGTTTGAAATGTGTCCCTGACAAGTTTAATCACATCTAACGCCGAGTCAAAGAGTTCGTTATGAATACACGCTTCCAGTAGCTGCGGGATTTCCAAAAGCTCTGTCAGCTTAAAATTATCAGTAATCAGTGAAGTTAATTTATTTAGAATCTCTATTGTATCTTGGCGTTGTTATGTAAAAATTGACAATCAATCGTACCTGCAAATAATTTTCGAATACGAATTGAATTTCGCCGTGCTTGGCCACGACGTCCGCTACCTCCTCTTGAAACTTGGAGTAGAACTTCTGAAGCTCGGGTATAGCTGCTTCAATTTTAGTTGTCTCTTCCTTGAGCTTGGCCAGCTGATAAAAAATTAATCAGCAATTATTGTATGGAATCATAACGTTTGGTGAAAGATACACGCACGTCATCCTTGACAATAGCGGCACATTGATTACTCTGAATGAAAACGTGATAGTTTTTGAGAACAAGGTTACGTAGCTGCTCCGCTGTGTTGTCTGCTTGTATCTGTAGTCGCCATGGCTCTTTCTTCAGCTCTTCTAGCGAGCATGTGTTAAGGATATTCTGCATACGCGGTCAGTAATATTAAAAATTTGGAAAATATTTCTACCAGGAAATATGTGATATGTCAGATTGAATCAATTTAAAGATTTTGACATTAAGCAATCTAAATATACGTACAAGCGAGCTTGGCTCGAAATTTATTAATGATTTTGCTTAAAACTATTTCTTATACTAATGATTGCTTAAATATCCTGGATATTGACGTAGCTGCATAGTTTGCATTTGGTGATTTTGTTAATTACATATTTACATATATTGCATGCGACAATATAGTGAGCATTATTTGGCGCAGGTGCTGGCTGAGTTATTATTAAGACCTTAGTGCAGTGCGGAAGGAGCGTCGCAAGCCATGGTCGCTTAATTGATCGACTTCAGCCACAGAGGCGACGCTGAAGGGAAAAACAATCTCACAAAAGGCTCTTCGCTGTAATATTTTGACCTCTGAGCTCAGTGCCCGATGGGACTCGCAAGCTCACCATATTCGCGCCATTCGAGTTTCACTGCGGTCGGTCACTTGTGTTGTAACG